ATATAACTCAATGAAAAATACGATGAGATGTCAACGACTTGGTAGACTTAGAACACAAATAAGTATTCAAAACATGAATATTTCAACCCGTCCTCGGGTCTTCTTCAGCATGTGTGACAAACAAAACATAAGTTGGCTATTACAATAATTATGATAAAAAGTAAAGTGTAATATGATTGGTCGACAATTTAATAGAATATAATGAACATATTGATTGGACAAAAAAACTAAGGGGCGGAGTAACAATAGAAATAATTAACAGATAAATTAATTGGTCACTGTAATAATAATGAGGCTAATATCAGAGTGGGAATACAGATCTCAGTCGGTAATAACAAAGATGGAAATAAACAATGACATAGAATAAAGGAACCTCTAAGATTAAACCCCCTGCAACATGAAAAATGGCACCTAATTACGCCAACATTTTCATGTCTGTTCTTGAAACCGATCTTCTTTCCTCGTTTCCCCTTACACCCCTATTCTATATAGTAGATACATCGATGATATTTTTATGATTTGGCAACACAGAGTTCAAAACCTTGAGCGCTTCAAGAGTCACGCTAACAACTTTCACCCACACATTAAATTCACTATGGAGCAGTCACAATCTTCTCTCCCCTTTTTAGATGTTTTAGTTTCTCTTTCTAACCACCACATCTCAACCTCCCTTTACACTAAACCTACTGACAGCCATTCTTTTCTCAATTTTGACAGTGCCCATCCTCTTCGCCTAAAATCATCTATTGCCTACAGTCAATTTTTACGCATAAAGAGGATTTGTTCTGAGCCAGATGACTACACTTTTCATTGTAGTAAACTTCTTGGTTACCTCCTTAACCATGGATACCCCTTCAGCCTAGTTAAATCTCAGTTTACTAGAGCTTCCCTCCGTTCCCGACAGGATCTTCTCTCTCCGACCACTAAATCTGACTCCCAACGCATCCCACTGGTCATGGACTTCCATACTAACACTCACCCCTTATCCAAAAATATCTGTGAAGACTACACCCAACTTAAAGTCGACAAGTCCATCGAACACTTATTTGACAGTCCTCCTCTACTCGCCAATCGACAGCCCCCGAATCTTAAATCTCTTTTGACTTCGTCACGCATAACCTTCCTACCACTGTCACCTGGCAATATTAAGTGCAATAAATCCCGATGCCTCATCTGCAAATGCCTTAATACTAATCCTCTCATCAAACTCCCCCATTCTAACCTCTATATACGCCCCCTCCATTAACCTGCGATGCATCCAACGTGGTATATCTCATCACTTGCGACAGGATCGTACATTGGTGAGACTGGCACCAAATTCAGACTTAGATTCAACAACCACAAACAATCCATCCGCAATCATAGTAAGGGTTTCCCTGTAGCCGACCACTTTAACTCCCTCGGCCATTCTATAAATAAAAGGCGCATATCTGAACTCAGACACATAATCAAACACAAAACCCACATATTCGGACTTAACAAGGACCGCAGTATGATCAGTGACTATAATTTTCCTTATTCTTAATCCTTTTTAGTAATTCATATGACTATTATTATTATTATTATTATTATTATTATCATTATTATTATTATTACTATTATTATTATTATTACTATCATTTTGATTATTATTATATTACCTATATTATTATTTTTTTTTATTTTAACGTATAGACCCATTGACATATATTTTCCAGCACATCTGTATTTTTTTGATTGCCTATTTTTGTTTAGTATGTCTTTTTATTCAGTCATTATATAGGCCTATATATATATATATATATATATATATATATATATATTTATTTCTGTATTTCTCTTTATCAAATAAGAGTTTTGTATTTCAGCCTTTCTGGCTCTCTGTTATTTTGCTGCTTGTTAACATGTTTTTGCTTATTTGCTATTTATCATGTTGTAGGGGGTTTAATCTTGCGGTTCCTTTATTCTATGTCATTGTTTATTTCCATCTTTGTTATTATCGACTGAGATCTGTATTCCCACTCTAATATTAGCCTCATTATTATTACAGTGACCAATAAATTTATCTGTTAATTATTTCTATTGTTACTCCGCCCCTTAGTTTTTTTGTCCAATCAACATGTTCATTATATTCTATTAAATTGTCGACCAATCATATTACACTTTACTTTTTATCATAATTATTGTAATAGCCAACTTATGTTTTGTTCGTCACACATGCTGAAGAAGACCCGAGGACAGGTTGAAATATTCATGTTTTGAATAAAATTTGTGTTCTAAGTCTACCAAGTCGTTGACATCTCATCGTTTTTTTCATTGAGTTATGTATCTAAGGAACTGGTGGTTCGAAAAACGAAACGTTCGACTAGGGTATAGACCCAAACGAAATGTTCGGCTGGTCGAACGTTTCGTTTGGGTCTATACCCTAGCTGCACTGATGAGGCCTGGAAAGCCGAAATGGATCCGTCTGCAGATATTGGGATTCCTTCCAGTGGATGCTTAGTTTGTTTTGTCATTCTGATCGGATTTTCTCTACTGTTCCGATTTAATTTTAAATAGTTTTGCATTATGTGGCCGTTTGCTGTTTTATGGGTTTTCCCCATTTGCCTTTTAAAATTTATTTATATTCATTAAAGAATCTCTTTTGAGATCCAGCAGGCCGCCATTGATGCACGGTAGAGACCTTTTGGACTAAATATTAGGAACATTCTCTACATTACATCATCGGAAACCTCAAAACATATTAACACCGAGTTTCAGGATCACAGCGTCAAATTTGGTGAGGTTAAAATTCTAACTGTGGAACCAAGATGGTTTGAGAGAGGAGTCAAGGAAGCCATCTACATCAGGGCCAACAGACCAATGTTGAATGGAGATGGAAGATATAATTTTCCAAAAATATGGAACAATGCCTTGAAGGCAAGATTGGAGGAGAAGGAACTAGGACCAGGCCCACTGGCCTCGTGTGTCATTGTGAATAAGACTACAGTGTTAGTTGAAAGCTTAAAACAACAAGTTCCTTTGTTTTCTGCTTTATCCAGAGATATAAAGTTTTAATTTATATTAATAGTAATCAACCTGGATAGATGAATCTGTCAATAATCAGTCAAATAATAATAATGTCATTTCAGGGCTTGAAATTAACTTTTTTTTTGGTAGCACTGCCAAAATTTTCTGGCACCCCCCTCCCCCCCAAAAAAATTTGGTAGAACACAAGTAATTTTTTTAGTAGTACATATTTCCCCATCCTTTTCGCAATCCCTAAGATAATAAGCGCTGCGCAATATTTTATTCTTTATATTTCCCTACACACCCACACCTACACTGTCCCTATGGATTATTATGCACTAAAGAAGACATGAAAGATAAAGAGAAGAGATTTAAAAAAAAAAAAAAAAAAGAAAAAAAAAAAACAAGAAAAATAATAAATAAGAAATAACAAAAGGAAGGAAAGAAAAAAAAAGAAAGAAGTAAAATAGTGGAAAGAAAATAACAATGAAAAAAATTAAAAGAAAGGTAAGTATCAAAAATGAAATAAGAAAAAGGAAAATAAAAAGAAAATAGATATTAAAGGGATAGTGAAGAAAAAAGGTGCAAGGTAAAAAATTCAACCTAACTGGAAGGAAAGGGAAAGTATTTCATGGAAAGTTTCAATAGGAATATTTCTAAGAAAATTACAAATTTATGTTAATTATTAACAGATATACACAATATAAAAAAGAAAAACATGAGCAGTAATAATGAGCTAAACTGTCTAGTCAATGGACTGCCAAAATCTGCAGTTACTTAAGTGGATTGATATATTGATTATAAAATTATTAATTATTATTACTGAAACATTAATTATATTTTCTGTACACTTTCTTTAAATTTTTCAGTATTTTTCTTCATTTGAGCAGGAAATTTCGAGAAAATAGGTCCGCAGAATCGCATTAACACTGCGAATGCCTATACATTGGTTACAATAGCCACCGGCCAACTTTACTGTAACATTTGCGTGGAAATTGGCAGACTTATTTTTAATATGCGTGGATGGAATTTGTTCTTTATGAGATAACTCTAAATCAATTTACACATAATAATTTCAACTTAAACAGAGTTCCAGAGTTTCACCAACATTTCGGGAGTGCTGAGATTCCAGCTCTCCACTTGTCAAAGGCCATTTAGGCTTTGTTTCAAGCCCGAAAAATTGGCATCACACAGTGGGCCAGCGACACTTCATATTTAGGTTATAAAGTAGCCTAGAACATTAGGCCTGGGCCTGTACAACTTCAGCAAAGTATCTTATACCTACATATATAATGATCTATAGTTTCATTTTCTTGTTCAATGGTTGTTTTTATTGAGAATTATAAAAAAAAAAACCAAAAAAAAACTGGTACGCCTTCCAACTTCGAAACTTCAGTATTAATCGCCAGTGAAAATTGTCACACTTCTAGTGTTTACAAAGTATTCGCGGAGTAACATATCCCAAACATTGCAAGTTGCCCTGAATGATGTAATATCCCAGCATTCTGGTTTACAATCTGCAATGGACTCAACATATCTTACTTGCCAGCCTGTGTAGTCGGGCGCACACATGGTTTGGGATGTTACTCCGCGAAATATAGTTTCGTAATTGGAAGACCTGCTACCAGTTAGTTCAATGTTGTTTTGTTGTTACGTTTTTTGTTGTCAAAAAAAAGAACATTCCTTGTAGAATTATATATTTTTTATATATCTTACAGATTAAATTAACCAATTAATTCAGTTGTTGCACTTTATTAATTCCACGTTTAAAATTTAATCTTTAAATATTCATTTAGTATATACAATTCAACTTTTATATTATTTCAAAACACGATTAAACAATCATTTTGCTTACTTTCTGCTGATACTTTGTTAAGAACAAAATAAATTGTTTGATAGAGGCCCATTACTTGTTGCCTATGAAATAACTCTGCTTACCATCTACTACATTCAGTGAGAAACGTTCCCAATTCCAGGCTCCTCCTGGTAGACACAGACACCGAGGTTGCCAGACACAAAGTCATTTGACTCTTTATACGCCGCCGATACAAACAAAAGTAGGTCAGAAGCCGACTGGCTCGTTCAGTAAATAAATGGTAGTAAAGGAGATGCTTTCTATATTATTTCATTTAATTAGGTTTCAAAATTTTGCTGTGAGACCTATTTGTTTGTTTGTTTTTTTGTAAATTTCAAGATGTTGCTCATTGAGATGCATGTTGTTGAACTATAGCTGCTCTGTGAAGTCTGGCTGAGGTTATCATCAATGAGTATTTTATACCCTTTGTTATCATCAGCTATGTGATTGAAGAAGCGTAATCTTATTTCATAATGTATGAGGTTTACGTAATTCGTTTGGTTTTTCAAAAAATAAAAAAAATGTCTGCCTTAATACTGGTAGTACTTTGAATACAATCATCCAGATGATGCCTAATTTATTTACGATCTATTAAGAGTTAAATTTTGATTATTGCTTGATCTGGGCCGTTTACATCGTGTGAGTCAATACTGTATACGATCGTTTGAAATTTCGGTACATAGTCTATTTTATGAACAAATACGTTAAGGAAATGTTCACAATTACGAGGAGGTACAGGTAAGAGTAGCACCCAATAAAATAGTAAAAAATCATGCAATCCGATATGTTTATACCAGTCTCCTTCTCTTTGACGGTGATCGCTTATTTACCAAGAATAAGATGAGCGCACATCGACACGGTTTTAGTGTACGACGTCACACTATAACAGTCTAGGTCATGCTGATTGGTTGATACAGTACATGTAAAATGAATGATAACATGTTTTGCGTACTGCCTGACTGAAAATAATGGACTGTACAAGTTGTAAATAATTGGGATTTGGAGGGAAACCACCTTCCTGCCGCTTACAAAATCTACTCGCGCTATCAAACGATCTTGTCGCACTGAGCGCGACAAAGTTGAATTCCTTGTCGCACCTTAAAAAATCAGGTCGCAAATGTGACCAAATAACCCTTAATTTCAAGCCCTGCATTTTATTTGGCACATGTATCCATCTCTACACAGTATATATATCTTTATTAAATTTTTTTATAAAATGTCAAGTTGGCAAAATAGAGTTTCTTAGTAGCAACCTGAATTGGGACACTTTTCACAAACAGCCAATAAGAAACATCAATTTAAAAAATACAAACACTAGTAAATTACAAAGAGGTGCTTGCGGCACCGTTTTTAATCTGCAAAGTGTAGCTTCATTTCTGCATTTTTTTTTCTTATTTATTTATTTTATTTTTTGTATTTATTTATTCATTTTAAAATTATTTATTTAAACTGACATGGATCTGTAGACAAGCAAAATAAAGACGCAAATACTCTTTGGGGTCACCATCCATTACCACCCTGGTGCACTCCCGGACCTCTGCCTACAATAGGTGACTTGAACAAAGGAACTTAAAACACATTTACCCTGCCACAGACGACCGGTTGCTCAGGAATTGTAATAGAGACAATGGCCCCAAAAAGTAAATGCCAGCCTGTGAAAAACAAAAGGCAAGGGAAAAATGCAGTCAGTTATTTTATTATTCAAAATGAAATAAAAATAAATGATATAAGTTCAGACAAAGTGTTTGGAGATGTATTTGGGATGTCTTGTTGGGAGTTTGTTCCGTTAACTGCTGTGTGTGAACTTAGCCTAAGAGGAATACTATTGTACATACGAGTTAATTATACATAATGTGATTAGGGTTATCGCTCTAAGAGCAGTATTTGACACAGAAATACAGTTGATCCTGTGTGTAGGCCTACAGAAATATTAACACAAGAACCCTAGTATCCGCATCCTGCTAACCGTTAGCAGCTGTTCCAGGCAATCCCTGATCCAAATACCAAGAAGATGATGATCGAATCACTGCCAATAGAAAATTGGAAACATGTACGTGTGATTGGTCAATGATATAAATGCTCTGAACATGATAACTGATAGCGATCACTAACAATTAGCATATCTGGATCATGATAATGGTTAGCACTAACTGATCGGATGTTCACAATTAGTTGCTAATCGTTAGCGCTAACGGTTAGCTTCCGATCCGGATACTAGGGCTTTTGTGTGAACCTGACATGTTTCTCCTCATATTTCCACTAAAAAACCAGTTAGGTATATCTCCTGGAATATCCCATTCCCTGAATATGTGTGGAGTAGACTCTACTAATTCACTACAATATCAGGATTTACCTGTTTTTATCTATTATGTTTCAACACCATGTTGCAGGTGAAAGCTTAATTTATAAAAATCTATGCATAATTGAATGAGCACCATTCAATTTTCTGTTAGTATCAAAGGAGGAAATCTGAGAAGGAAGTGGATTTAATTCAATAAAGTACAATAGTTGGCACCATATTAACTATTGTGTTCTATATAAAGGCATAAAAATACCAATCTACAGGAAACTTTCCTGTCAATTGGAAAGATAACATTCCTGATGATGACATAATTGATGTCGAAATATTGAATCCCAACACGATGGCGTGCATTTCAGTACATGGAGTATGTATTATACTTTCTTATTTGGAAATATAACTCATACTACAATAATCATTTATTGTATAGAAACATTCATAAATTGAATTCTTCACAGTAGCTGCTTAAAATCCTCTACCTTTGTATGTTACTGAAGATTTCAAGGCTTTTAATGTTCAAATAAATGTAAGGCTTTTTTCCATACAATAGCTACGTACATGCTATTGCTGACAGCTTTCAGTGATGCTGATTGATCGGTCAAAATGGAGAGTCTGCCTGATTGCGTCAGGAACTGCTTTACACACAATACGATTACAATAAGAAACCAGGCTTAAGCATCATTTATTAGGCCACATAATGTGACTTTGGAAATCATGGTCAAGCTGGAATTCTTGTGACCTTTGAAATGATAAACGTCATAAAACCAAGTTCAAATTTGTCATATGAAGCCATGATGCTAGGCCTCATATTTTGGTGGATGAAACGGTCAACCACTGGCCATTATTTTTTTAGTAAATAAATGGCGTAACAGGGCAAGTTTTATCTGTTCTTTTTTTTCATCAACTGTTGACAGATTTATGTCTGGGAATTATGAAACTACTGTATTTACAAATTAATTTTAATGTAATTTAGTAATTAAAAATTTTAACATTGTTTGTGGTGTAGTTTGCTACTGCTACTCTTCTTGGTCTATTTGAGATTACAGCGATTCCACATGATGAAATTAATTCATCATCAAGATCTATTCTTTTTATGAAGAAACCATGTTTATCAAATAGCTCTAGTTTATGAACACTTGCCACTATTATATTCTCATACATATCCATGGTTACACCATTAGGATGCCAAAACTCATGGCATACAACTCCTATAAAATTATCATTTACATCAAACATTAGAATTCTGTGATTTCCAAACTCAGCAACAATCACGTTACCTTCTTTAGTTAAAGTGACATCAATTGGCTTTATCATTTGACCTTCTATACTACATTTTGAACCTATTTTACCTAGTAGTCTACCATCATCAACATTAAATTTAAACACACAGTTAGCATCATTATCTGCTACATATAGTACTCTAGTTTCATTGTTTACTGCCAAGCCACTTGGACACTCTAATATTCCTTTACCAAGTGAGCGAATTTCTTCAAATTTATTGTCACACATTACAACACAATTGTCATAGGCAGGACTGTACATCAAGTGACCATCATCCATATGATGCATTCTTTTGACTCTCACGTTTTGTGGTACCTGTATCCTAGCAACAAATAATCCCGATTGGTTGAACTTCAATATATCATCACTGGAGCTTGATACTAAAATGTATCCGTTTGTGTCCAACACTACATCTGTTGCTCTACCTTCTTCTTGATCTTTTTTGTATACTGATATGTCACCAATGACATGAACAAGTCCCAGTGATTCCACCTTGATATTCACTGGAGATCCTTTGATTTCCATCTCCCCAACAGTGATCTTCATTTGCCATTCACCTTCCACATTGCATCTACCTGTTATTTTGTACTCTCCACTTCCATGATATTCTATCTCAGTGGCAGTGTTTTCTGATGAATTCTTTAGGGTGGCTTTTAACTGACATGTGTCTGCTAAACTTGATACTTTTACTACAAATGGTTGTCCTTTGGTGACAGTAATTGCTTCATCATCTTGAGCAACCTTGTACGTGCAGTCAATATATGCGAATGTAGCAATGCCCTCAGTATTTATCAACTCTTCCAAATTTGTATTGGTAGATAGAATAAACTTTGGAATAATACTATTATCATCTATTTCTAGGAACTTGTCTCTAATAGCTTTTATCTTATGGGATCCAAGTGTATCTATTTCTTCTGGTTTGTTCATAATTCTGTGGATTGTGACCATTAGATTATTTACTTGAGTGAGTTTTAAATTAATGTCTTCTTTTATTCCTTTGTATATATCTTCAAGCTGTGAGATTATTGTTTGGCTTTTCTCTTCAACCTTCTTGATAAGTGTCTTCTCCTTTACTTCAATAGCTGTTCTGCATAATTTTACATTAGATTCAAAATCAGACACATCCGTAGGTATTAAATCAAGTGTTCTTTTCAAATTTTGTTTATTGCTTTGAGCTTTTTTGGTAAGTTCAGTAGCAGTTTGGTGAAAATTCTCCACAATAGTTTGTATTTCAGTTATGTTATGTTTATTTTTAAAACAACAAAGAACATGTTCACATTGCTTACATGCTGATTTCTTGCAAGTTGAGCAGTAAAATTCCAATATATTTGTACAGTGAATTGGACATTTGTTGTGATCATCTTTGCTACATCCTCCATTCCTATCTAATGGATGGTCTTTCTGTGAAGGTATTATCTTGTAGTGTTTGCAACATTGTAAACATAAGTATAGTAAACATTCAGAACAGTGGTATTTTGGTTGATTATCACAGTTTGAGCACGTTCTTTGATTTTCATTTTCTATGAGGTTTTTAAAATTTTCTTTTTTTTGTTTGTGTTTTTGATCACATTTTAGACATTTCAGTTTGCAGACGTGTCTTTCCACTGAACTTTCCTCACAGCAAAGAGAGTAACTATGGAGGCACATGGGTTTCATTGGCTCTGTGAATCCTTCTTTATAGGTACAACATCCAAGATCTCTTTGGTCCAAGAATTGTAAAGCCCTGCCAGTAGACATCTGTAAATATAAAATTATGTAGTCTTATTTATAAATTTTTGTTTGCCACCTGTTGAGTGTGGGAAATTTCTGTAATTAGCAAAAATTTCTGAAATGTTAATTAAATTTATGACTTGGATGTGCCAGTTTAAAAGAAACAAGAGCGACCGCACTAATGGTCCGCGCGTTCCTCCATGCTTAAATACAGTACAGGCGCAAGTTATTATATGGGGTTTTTTGGAAGAGCTAATAAGATAGAAATTTTTTAATAATTAGAATGTTTATTTGTACAAAAAGAAAAAATAGAAAAAAAAAACTTTCAGAATTAAAAATTAAGTTACATAAAATTAAACAAAAATAAAATCTTAAAATTGGAAAAAAGGTGAATACCAAGACGCGTTTCAAACTCACGACCTTAATCCTTAATCGAGCTTGCCATTCATGCGACCTGCCCTATTGGCGGTAATGGCAATAATGTAGTCTTTGCTGAAACCCCTGTTTTGTTTTGTAGTGTACAGGAAACCAGGATGTCCAACTTAAAAAACGGCGATGAACGTTTGTTGGAAATCCCATCTAGTTTATGTGTGTAAATTTTCCTCCATGTTTGTTCAATATTGGCGACGCTGGACACTTTTAAAGTTTGAAACCCCTGTTTTGTTTTGTAGGTGTAGGGGAACCTTGGGGTCCAACTTAAAAAAGGGGCGATGAACGTTCATGTGTACAAAATTTCATGCACGTTATATTCAAAACTGGCAACGCTGGATGCTTTTAAGGTTTGTAAAGTTTTGGTAACAACAATAACAACAACAGCAGTGAGGCTCTGGGTCATCACTACGCACGGACCAAATATAAAATGAAAGAAAGAGATATATTGAAACAAGGAAATTCAAAAGATTTATTGATGCTAATTAAATAATAGTAAATATACTTTTTTTAAGCATCCTGTATAAATTAAAGTGACATTATCTTCCTTGCAAATATCTAAGGTTTGCAGCCAATTTTAATACATGCACATGCTATAACACTATTAGTTAACTAATGGGGGGCTATAACACTATTAGTTAACCAATTAGGCTTCAAAAATATAGGTTGTTGTATTGAAATTTGATAGCTACAACTTTTGTGTGTGATTGTAAGAAAAACGATAGAATTTTTATATTTTTTAGCAAAGGTTTGCCTAGGTCGAAACTAACTCTGGCTATATAAAATTGATTATAAAATTGAAAAATATTAATCTTATTGTAGTAGTGATACTATGTACACGTTAAAATTATTGTTATTTATTTGTTAACGTCATTATATTTACATTTAAATTTAACATATTTTTTAAGTATGAATTACTTTGTCCATCCACTCACGACTCATCTGACAGTCAAACCAACACATGTCTGTGTGACAGTCTGAGAGTGTGGCATTTCTGGCCATTCAGAGATTCCTATTCTTAAAAAATCTCATTTGGGAGGGGGAACACCCTCTCAAATCCTTCCCCAGCTTAGGCATATGAGCTCAAGTCCCCCTGTTGGACAGCTCTTCCCCACTCCCGGAAAATATATCCCAGAGCCGCTACTTCTTTGGAGGTAAAGCATGCTACCACAATCGATGCATAAAGTACATATTTTCATTAATATTTGTATTTTGTAGTAAAAATGATGGTGAATTTGTTTTAAAACATCAACCTGTTATTTCTGTTTTTCTATAGACTGTTGCCAGATTATTATCTGAGTAATATGGAACTTTTAAACTAAAATTAATTTCAAAGTCAGTACTGAAAAATTTTGACATTGTCGTATATGTAGTTTGCTACTGCTACTCTTCTTGGTCTATTTGATATTACAGTGATTCCACATGTGATATCTAATCCATCATCTTCATGATCTATTCTTTTTATGAAGACACCATTTTTATCAAATAGCTGCAGTCTATTATTATTTGACACTATAATATTTCCATCCATATCTGTGGTTACACAACAAGGACCCCAAACATGCCATACAACTCTCATCAAATTATCATTTTCATCAAACATTTTTAAACTGTTATGTCCAAAGTCAGCAACAATCACATAACCTGCCTTATTTAAGGTGACATCTTGTGGTTTTTGCATTTGACCTTCTTTACTACCTTCTGAACCTATCTTACCTAGAAGTCTACCATCATCAACATTGAATTTATACACACAGTTAGCATTATGATCTGCTACATATAGTACTCTAGTTTCATCGTTTACTGTCAAGCCACTTGGACACTGCAATATTCCTTTACCAAATGAGCAGATTTCTTGAAATTTATCATCACACATCAAAGCACATTGTCCTAAGTAATCAATGTACACAATGTGACCATTACCCATTAGATGCATTCTATTGACCTTCACATTTTGTGGCATCTGTATCCTAGCAACAAATAGACCTGACTGGTTGAACTTTAATATATCCTTACTACGACTTGATACTAATATGCATCCATTGATGTCTAACAGTACATCTGCCACTTTATTTATTTTGTCATGTTTTTTGTAGACTGATATGTTTTCAATGGTATGAACAAGTCCCTGCATTTCCACTTTAATTTTTACTGGAGATCCTTTGATCTGTGCCTCTCCTGCAATAATCTTCATTTGCCAGTCACCTTCCACATTGCATCTCCCTGTAATTTTGTACTCTCCATTTCCTTGATATTCTAGCTCAGCAGTTGAATCTTCACCTGATGAGTTCCTTAGAGTGGCAGCTAATTGACATGCATCGCTCTCTGACGGACTTGATACTTTGACTACAAATGGCTGTCCTTGTGTGACAGTAATTGCTTCATTATCTTGAGCAACCTTGTACATGTTATCAACAGTTGTGATTTTACCAATACCCTCAGTATTTATCAATTCTTCCAAATGTGTAGATAGAATCAACTTTGGAATAATAGTTTTGTCATCAATTTCTAGGAGCTTGTCTCTGATAGTATTTATAGTTATCTTTTTGGATCCAGCAGTGTCTGTTTCCTTTGTGTTACTCATTGTATTGATGATAGGATTCAAATTATTTAGCTGAGTCAGCTTTGAATCAATGTCTTTTATTTTACTACTAATGTCTTCTTTCAATTCTTTGTATATATCTTCAAGTTGTAAGGTTATTTTCTGGCTTTCCTCTTCAACCTTCTTGATAAGTGTCTTCTCCTTAACTTCAATAGCTGTTCTGCATAATTTTATGTGTGATTCAAAATCAGACATATCATTAGATATTGAATGAATTGTTCTTTTCAATTTGTTTTTATTGCTTTCAACTGTTTTGACAAGTTCAATATCACTTTTCTTTACAGCAGTCTGCATTTCAATTATATCATGTTTATTTTGAAAACAAAGAAAACTTTCACTTTTATTACATGATGATTTCATGCATGAACAGTATAATTTTAAAACAATTGTGCGATGAATTAGACGTTTGTTTTTCCATCTTTGCTACTTCCTTCAGTCCTTTCAAAATGTACAATGGATAGTCTTTCAGTGACGTGATTCAGTGATTATCTTGTTGTGTTTGGAACATTTTACACATTAGTAAGTCCTGGATCCATTTTGTCCAAGAATTGTACCCATATTCATGTACCTGTCTCTTATACACATCTAGATGTGTATAAGAGACAGATATATATACTGTACGTGTACGTATACGTATGTGGAAAAAAGATAACATTTTTTGATGGTTTAAAATATGTTAGCATGCAAGGTAATTAAGCAGTGGCAGCTCTAGAATATATTTTCTGGGGGATACTGAGCTGGGGAAGGGTTTGAGAGGGTGTTTCTCCTCCCAAATAAGATTTTTTAAAGAATAGAGACGACATCTGGATGGTCAGAAATGACACTTTCAGACTGACTGACATGGTTTGGGCCTATTTTTATGTGTTTTTAGTCCGGCTGCCGATGAGCTCTCTCTCCGATGGTGGAGCTTGACCTGCCTGGTGAGGCTTAAGCCCCTGCTGCACCCCCCACTATGCCACTGTAATAAAGTAATAGAGACTGCTCTAATTATCGTGTGATGGGGGTACACTGTACAGCCCACCAAATGCTACTTACTTCTCATGATCAGATCATAATCACTGAACCATGTAAATGAAACAATGCCGCTATAGTTCAGAAACCAGCGGTGGCGCTAGAGATTTGCCCACATGGCTTTCAGGCATGACCAACTGGGAGGAGGGGGAGTGGGAATTTTGTTGTGGCTGTGTTTTTAATTGGACATTTTTACCTAAGTAAATGCGTATGCAGATTGTAGATTTTGCTCAAACCATAGTCAATAGAAAACAAACACAACTTCATGGATACTTGTTAAATATGTATGATCATTCAACAAATTAAACAATCACAATGTTTAATTTTAATGCTGAAAATGAGGAAGAAATACTAAACTTATATTGAATTCACACTCTTTATAGAGGTCTGGGTTACCTTTAAACAACAACTATCAATTCACATCTCAATGTGTAAACTGTAATTTATGAGTATTGGTATACCCCCACCCCAGCGCACCCGCTCCAAAAATACTAGAACCTCCCCTGGTCATCTACGAAAAATCATGCTCAAAGATAGTTTATAAAAATCATCAAAAATTACTGTATGTTCTGAGTTAAGCCTCTCATCACCTAATCATTGAGTCCCCTCCCCCACATGACCTTTGGCTCCCATCCATCTCCCCATTTCTATACTCCTAAATATGCCACTCCAATGATCCTCTTAACATTTCTTTGTTCTCTTTAATATTTTCTCTGAAGATATGAATTATATTGGAGTTTTTGTTAGACAGTAATTTCATAAAGTTTAGCTCTAATTTAATTGATTGTTTAATATTTAATAACGTGCAAATAAGATGACCATGTATATTTAGATTGATTAGTCAAAAATAACAGTAAACCTAAATGTGTACATATACCCAGAAAGGCAACCCAACTTTTGGGGCACTTGACTAACACGATCAGCTAAATAAACAATATTGTTTGTTCAAAGGATTATCATTGGGGATTAACTCAGCAGAACACGC